AGCAGGATTCCAGCAGACCTTCCAGACAAAGTCTTCCAACAGTGTGCAAGGCAGGTTATGGAAAGGAAATAATAGTTACACTAGATAAGGAAAATGGAGAAAATACAAAACCAAAAGCAAGATCATTATTCTGTTTCAAAGAAGCAGCTTTGAGTGTTGAATTATAAAATATATCAGTAAACTTTAAGTCTCACATGTGAGGTCTAGGAATAGCTTTGTAAACTCCCACAAACCCTCTACTTATCACAAGATAACAGACAAGAAGTTGCTGTTCAACTGGCAACAAACCTTTATTAACTAATAAGTATTTCAGTAGGCTGTGCTTAGCTTCTGTAGGATTCAGGAAACAAGAGGTCTGCTCTACTGCTTCCTCCATGTCATAGTAGGGAACAGGGCTTGAGGACTTCTTTCTTTTTAAACGGACACTCCAAATCCAACTTTGAACAACACTTTCAGTATCAAGAGCTTGTGGAGCAAGAGCAAGACATTAAATAATTCTTTTTTTAGGAAAACTTACATGACCCTGCTTATTTGGAGACAAGTGAACCACAGGATCCTGTCTCATCAGTCTTCCACTGGGGCTTTCTCTGAAGGACGGCAGTACTTTTGATACTGCTGGAAGATGGCAGGTTGGTTCTGCAATACAGCACACAATGATGTACTGAAGAGCGTATGCAGTGCAACAAACCAAGAACATGTGTAACCTAATTTTACACCGCAATTTTTTCAATACTACCATTAGCCAAAAACTTTGGATACCTAATACAGAATTAATTTCAAATAAAAAAATAGATATTGTGACAAAACACAGGTGAGCGAGGACCCATTCCTGCCTGGCGTAAATCAGTAAGACTTCATGAAAAACCAGCAGCCACTATCCTGGCTTTTCTTAGAACAACCTGAATGGTATCATGCCCCCGTTGTTCAAGAGCACCATATCAGAGCATAACAACAGCGGAATATTCATTTGTATCTCTGTATGCACATTGCCTGTGGACAAGAGATTAAAAAACCCAAAGATCCACATTTCCTTACGCTGTATTCTACACAAGGCGGGACAACAGCAAAAGTCTACAGTGATCACTTAAATGAACGCATTTTCTCCAGTACAACTACTACATATATTTCTTGTCAAAGTTAAGGTGAGTTAAATAAACATTCTCTAATTGAAGAGATAGCAAAAAATCTGTTGAAATCACAATATACCCTTAAAAACTGCTGGCTGTGAACGTGGAAACTGCATAGATGTACAAAAGGAATACTTATTAAACTAAAGCTGACAGAAGTAGATGGAATTCAAGTCACTGATCTTACATGGACACTCATAGGAATGCTCTTTGCCAATGAAACTTATTTTTTCCCAGGAGATAACTATGGAGGTCTAGAGGGTGTTGAGGCAGCCCATCAGGTAGGTAATTGCCTTCTCAGAGCCCAAGGTCAGTATTTTAAAAGAATCTCTCCCAGTTGTGACTTTTTACATGTATCTTCTCTCCTATGGTTATGCAATATTCTGCACTTCTAAAAATGCTGCTTTTAAGTACAATATGTGCTTATGAACATCAAACTTATCAACACCTAAAGTAATGAGCAGTGCTTTCCCCAACACAGCTAGAGTTTTTTTCATCTGTATCTGCAACATTACTAGCTTTTTAAAAAACAAATTTAAAAGTTTTTTTTTAATTTAAAAAAAAAAACCTAACTTGATTCCCCCTGGCAAGTGATAGCAAGCACTGTTCCTGCACAAAGAACAAAGGTCTTCTGTAGCTAAGAATGGGCCAGGAAGGAGTCAGTGTGTGGATTCACTGCACCTAACGCCTTATTTAAATTGACAGAGTTTATCCCAAGTGGAAATGTGCTTATTTGTCATAGAACCAAACTTTCATCTAGATTCACCAGACTGGCAATAAAGTCTCCAGTCAGAGATGCAGCTTCCAACTGTGACTCTATGAATGCAGGACAATAGCCAAGAGATAAAATACAGGGATTATATGTCAGTATGCATTTCTCAGCCTTTGCCAAATGCCGGAGCCATCTCGTCTACCACAGTTTTTCCTGTTCTTTTTGGCCTTATTTATTTTGCTAATATGGTGACACCTGACACTTATAGAACAGAATTTGCTGGCAGCTCCACTCAGTGCCAGCACCAACACCCAACGGTTGGTCTGCAAAAGTAATGCTGAGCAAAAGATCAGTTTTACATGTGTCGTTACCATCACACAGTATCAAAACATATGTGATTAAAAATTGTTCTGTCAAAATGAGAGCTGTAGATCAGTATAATCACAGCTTTTTAGTGAGAAGTATGGGGGGGAGTTGTGAGGGAGGGATTGACAGATGGCTTCAATAACAAGGCAGAGCTCACTGAGGTGGTAAAGGTATGCGAACAAAGTATATCTTCAGAACTTGAGGTTGGCATTGGGCTTAAACTCCTGCTGATCTCACAGAACTTTATTCTGTGTTCAACACTAGTTCACTTATATAGAACAAAAGCTGTGATGCAGTAAAATAATGATCTATGCAACAGAAAAAGTATGGAATTGTTTAATCTATGGTAACAAAGTTAGAAAAAACCAGTCTAGCAGTCTTGACCATGGTCGTCATGTCGGATCAATGCTGTTTGTAGACAGGACATTTCCATTGGTGTCAAATCTCTATGGTATCCACTCAAGTCAAGCCGTGGCTGTAGCAAAAGGTCTATGTGCAAAAACTTCAAATGAAGCCTTAACAATGCAAATTCTCAGTACCCAGCTGTTTTATGTAGTTAATGCATTCCCTCAGCTGACAGCTTAATTGCCAAGTGCAATGAAAATGTATACACTGGTGGAAGGCGATTACCAAGCTATAGATTTACTTCACTATTTAAACTTTAATTGCATTTTTTCCATTTTGTACATGGTATTTTTATAGCCTCAATGATCAAACAATCAATTTGCATTTATATAGCACCGTCTGAAAGGGAGCATCACAAGCACTTTAGACAAACTAAGCAAAAATTAAACTAAGTCAAGCCACTCGGGAGAGTAGGTAAGGTCAACCAAGTCCTCAACAGCAAGACAAATTAATAAGTGTGTCTACCCAACCGCTTCTAAAAGGAAAGAATGTTTCAGGGTAAAAGCATTAAGGTAAATTTAGTCCCACAATCAAATGAAGAACTGAAATCAGTTCTTCCTCAGGTGATACTCATAGGTCTCAAGGAAACAGACTGCAGAAGCTAACACATGCTCCAGACCTAATTATTCATCCTGATGAACAAGGTTAACTTTCAAAGACACTGAAAACATAGTGCTTAAGAGGGTTCTCTCTCTGCATGGAGAGGTATTGCCAAAGTCACCTTGTGGTTTGCATCACTTGCTCATTGTAAAGAATTAATTACCTACCCATCTGGTCAGCGATACTATCCTCACTTCTTTGCCAGCTGGGTGTGGATTTGCCGCTACCACCCGTATCTGATTGCGTGTTCTGCCTGTCAATGGAAGCAGGGGATCTACGGCTAATTCCAAACCTGTTGTAACACCCCAAAAAACAAAGCAGATAATGATTTTTAAATATTCATAAATTTCACATAAGGGGAAAAAAGCACACTTAAGAAGCAAGTGTCAAACAACAGGGCAGACCAATGCATTACACAACTACTTGAGGCATTTATAATGCTCTTCCATTTAATTTTTGTGGCAGCTCTCAGGACCCATTTAGCACCCTTAATGCGTAAGATGACAGTACACATTCATTTATTGAGCATCTTCAATCAAGAACATCTGGTTATAGCACATACAATTAAAAAACAACAGACCAAAACATCCAGAAACAAACCTGTTAGTTTTCATTTACACAGAATTTTACATGGAAAGGCGACCAGACAGTTACATGGTTACAGAAAATTGACCGCAATAAGCCACACAGGGAAATAAAGTGTGTTTATCAGGAAAAAGATATCAAGGATGGAGCCTTTTAACTGGGAGAGCACTACTTCAAATTAGTCAAATTGAGCATCAGAAGGTTTGCTGGGACAATCCCATGGTTCTCAGCCACTTTTCTGGGTTCTAAGGAAAAGACTAGTAATGTCATATCTAGGCGATGCAAATGTATATACAAACAACATAGATTCATTTGGGACATTATTACATGGCCAAATATTTTAAATAAACATTTAAAGTTGACTGTATTGGTTATGGATTCCCAAAATCTGGGAGTGATAAATTCTGTAAATTGTTATTTGATCATAAAGTAATTTGAGTGGACTACTGTAAATTAAATACAGCTGTAGGAAAGGAGTGAGATGTGTTGCTGCAAAAGAAAGCATACAGAGCAAAAGGAAAACTGTGTTCAATGGATTTTGCCTGATTAGTCAGATGGATTTCGGAAAGTTCAGTAAAGATATAGTAAACTCAAGGAGAACAAAGTAGACACGCAGTGCTGAAGCAGATCCAAGTCCACATGCCTTATATGCCTAAAAGCCTGTAAGAATTAAATCTATAATTATGTATTACATATAAATCACTTATAAGTCTGTAAGAACTACAGTTCGGTTCAGAATTAGCAGATCAATCATTCAGAATTTGTCAAGAATTGTGCATTTCAGAGGTGCCCTTTTTTTTTTTATCAGACATACCCTGATGGTAAAAAAATTCCCAAAACTCTACATGAGAGTAACACCCAAAAGAACTACAAGCTGATATATTCTCTGTATATCAAGCAGTTTCTGTAGCTCTAAGTGTCTAACATAATAACAGAAAATAAAATACCCAAACTGTACTTCCTACTTACTCTACACTAGCTACTACAGACTGCCCCACACAATCTCCAATGTAAAACAGACATCTGCTCAACGGTCAGAACAAGCTCAATGTGGTTATCCCATTTGAAAGTTCATGGAGTTGGTAACTCAGATGAACACACAGAAGAAACTTCATATGACTCAGAACAACAAAATCCCACTCCCATCTCTAAAGACAAGCAGCTGGAACATGCCTGTTACATGCAGCACAGATCCAAAATGTCACGTTCTGAAATTTAGGCCTTCTGAATTTTACCCAAACATGACCCTGCTTCCCTTTTGTTCACTGCTCTCTGGTATAGCCAACATACCATTTGATGAATAAAAAAAAGGGTGAAGAAAACCTGGATATATCTGCCTTCTGAACACAAACAATTTACACTGAAACTGCATGAAGTGAGTAATGCTTTTCCTTTTCTATTCACAGACTAGTTAGGATTTCACTTAATCAAATACCTAAATTAAACACGATGAATTCATTATCAATTCAGCAGATGTACAAACCCACAACATTTCAAAAGCTGACTGATTCTTTAAACACTGATCTCAGGTAATTTTCAAACTTTTAAGACCTGTAAAATATTTTGGGAAGAATATGTTTTCATGATAAAATAACTAGAAGTTATCTAAAAGAAAAAGCCAAAATCCCAAGAAACCTTGGTGACCTTGGTGTGAAGAAGTTGCATGGCATCAATATTTTACTGTCTATGCATTGTCCTCTTACCTAAACCCCATAATGTTCTATGTATAAAAGCAGTCAATTTTGTATTTGCCATATTTTACGATGCTAGGATTTTTTTTCAAGATTACACAAAACCACCACGTTTCTAATTATTTCATTAAAATCACTGCTCTACTAACTGAGCAGCAAGAAATGTCTTTAGATTGCCTTTTTTACATGAAGCAGGATATTTAAAAGCAGGAATAATAAATGCAAGTGGTGCTATATTCTATGCTGCTTAAATATATAGCCCATTTGGCTATGTAGGAATGAACCCCAAAAATTTGAATTAAAAAACTGGATTAAAAGAACAGTGAAATTGTTTAAATATGCATTTTATATGTACGTCATATCAAGAAACTGAGTATTTCGGTATTTTTGAATTTTACTTTTACCTTCTACAATCATTTATTACATATACGTACCTCCAGGTAAACACAGGATAAGTATATGAAACACAAATATATACATCAAGACCAATCTGGATATTCTTGAAGGCAGTGATGTTTTTGCCTATACCCAGCTTTGGATATGGACCAATAATCTAGAAGAGGCAGCAGTTACTGCTGTTACTGATATCTGAACAGAGATTGGACTCGCACCCATACTTCCAGTCATTTAAGTTTCACAAACTTTCCAAATCTGTCATATCACGCAATAAGAAAGAAATGTATACACAAATTATGCAGTTGAGATTTCCATGCACTGGGCAATCTCAGGGACCAGCATACCTAGAGCAAGCTGGAGCCTCACCTTGGGAAGATTACCTTCAGGACATGGTGCCCTCTCAGCCCCTACTCCAGCCCATCCTTCTCTCCAACATATTAGCAATTGAATGCTACAATATTTTTCTCCTATTTTAACAACATATATAGGTTAATTGCTGACCAGTTCTATCTGGTGCATCAAACATCACTGCAGAGCTGCCCTGAATCTGGTCTCTCAGATGAATCTCAACAGAAGATGCACATGGAACTACAATGATTTTTAGTAATGTGACAGACATTACTTTGCTTACTGAGGCAAGGGAAAGTTTTCTTTAGAATTACATTTTTCACGCTTTCCATTTAGCTAGTGGAAAATGTTTGGAAAATCCTGAGTAAATACGATTCATGTGTACAACGACAGTTTGGGAGGCAAAGTGCTTTTTCTGTAAGAATAGAAATAACAATCAAATAATTGGGAGTTTAATAAGTCATTTTTCTTTTTTTAAAAAAGCATCCAATAAGGAACATGCAAAGTCCACGTATTAATTACTTCTTTCATTATTCTATTTAAACAGTGTTTCCTTGCACTGAATTAAAAATTCAAAACCAAAAAGACTGTATATGCAAGGTTTCTAGGACATATATCCTTGCTGAACTTGCAAAACACTCGAAGAATGCTTTAGCGTACATACGTGTATAATTAATGTAAAAGATGGAAAAGGGTTGGGATGGGTGCTGGTGTGCTCTGAGGCCAATTCAAAACAAAAACCCCAGCATGCCTGAAAATCCCTTCCTACTCAAGCAGATACAGTTGTGATGGTCTAAGGACATATGGCAGCAATACCTTTTTTGTAGAGCAAATGATGTAGCTGGAAAAGAGCAGACAAGATATTGGGAGCACAACCTGCTCTTCAGAATTCAAGGCAACACGTAAGAGCTGCTGGCATGAATGAGCCAGGAAGTATGCAGTGTATAAAGAGGTTAAGTGCTTTTTTCCAGCTGCAGAGCTCTGGACATGCTTCCACTTAGTTTCCTTTCAGCAAAGTGTAATGGGTTTAGAGCAAATCTCGTAATACCAGTAAGACTTAAGCATGAACTTAAATAATGACCTGAACAGGCCTGGTGGTCTCATGAATCAAAGCCTTCATGAAGGTGTGCAGCAGAGAAGAGATGGCCTCTTCAGAAACCCTCAAACTGAGCTGCAAGGAGAAGGACAGGAAGGACAAATCTCCAGTGCTCTGGAGCAAGAAGCAGCACTTGTTCAAAAACATGCTCAGAACAGGCATTCTCTGGACCGACAGAGAGAAGTGTCCCCTCACAGTCACGAGACAGTACCTTGTGCTAAGCAGTTCCTGACAATGGTATTTAATCTTACTAATAATATATTTTTTTAAAATAGAGAAAAAGATACCTCTACTTTATAAAAGACACAAACCAGAATGAATTACACACAATGACCTGCAATGTACTCAAGAAGACTTCAGAGTGAAGCTCTGAAGACTTCAGAGTGAAGACTTGCAGTGTGAACTATCAGCAGCTTTGCCCCTTTATCTTCTCTATAGCAAGTAATTTGGAATATGGCAGACGGCTTCCCTGCTGCCAATTATTTTTTTCCCTACTTGGAGATACTTGATTTATTGCTTCTTTCAGGGCTCTCTGAAAATGACAGATTTCATTTCTTCCTCTGCAAGTTGCCCCTTACACGTTGACACTGAATCGCTTCAGAGAGTTTGAAGATTTCTGGAAAGCTGGAATACAGCACCTTAAAACAGGATGACTGTGAATATGTGAAAAAGATGCTAGCTGTGGATTACTTATCACTTTTGTGCCTACACATCTGAAGTCTTAGTTGCACTCAATACTATTTTGCCTCGACTATTAGCACACGCTGCAAAGTCCCAGACTTGTTACTTACTTCATTTTACAATCTAAACCTGTGAAATGAAGCAATTTGCAACATGAAACCAGTACCTTTAATGAAGATTTTTAAATACATAAAGGTCCCTTTGTATAGTAACCTAAGCGGTTGTGGACTAGGATCAGAGAGAGAGGTTAAGTGGCCAAGGGATTTTTAAAACTGACTTTTTCAAGAAGCATGACAGTGATATTTGAAAACAAACATGTTTCGATGCATGTAAACAACAGCTGACAGGAGGCTGCGTAAGTACTCCTTTAGTTTAATATACATTACAACAAATAGAAGAGAGAATAAAAAGCTGCCTAAAAAGATTTAAAAAAAGTCTGGTGCCTACCCTTCTGGCATAGATTTTTGTCTGTATGTGCCCCCACCAGAGCCAGTCTCACTTGAGGATGATAAGTTGCTTGGAGAATTACGGCACTGTTGCGATCTTGCTAAGGCAATGCTTGAAACTGTGACATAGACATCAGAACCAGGAGACAACCTGTTCAGAGCAAACGAACCAGTTGAATCAGCAATATTGAACAGCAATATCATAGTGCAAAACATGATGGACAACATCATGCAAATTGTCACATCAGCAAAGAACATGGCATCATGGAGACAGTAGAAATGAAGTCAGTTGAAGGATCAGACATTTTCCCCTTATGAATCTATTGGAAACCATGGAAAATCGGCTGTAAAAAGCAAGTGTGGGATGAAAATCCCCGCACACACTAGAAAAACATCCCAGTTTCTAAAAGGCTGATTTCTTTTTACAGATAGCTTGTAAGGAATAATGAAGCATGACAGTCCTCACCCAAATACCAAATAGAACAAAATATTTCTAGTTCTCAAAACAATTTCTTGCCTGGTGGTGAGCCATCTATGCAAACTCTTCCAAGAGTATCAAGTTTATCTCCATGCCACCAAACTTGTCCACATTAAATCACAAGGATTAAAAAAATGTTATTTATAAATACCTTAAAATCCCCCCTAAAAACTTAACGTTCTAATATAAAACTGTCTCAACATATCAGAACTCTGAAAATACAGACCTGAGTCATATGAAGCCTTCTCCTGTTGGAATAACCATACAGCAAATAAATGGGCTAGAATTGCAACACATGCACCTGGGCAGAATGGCTGGAAGCAGCAGGCTTATACTGTTCAACTGGTATATCCTGTTCTGTAGTTGAAGGCTTTTTTAGATAATTTTCTGCTTTGTGCATTTTGTTTCCCGAACCCCAACCAAATTCACTGCTGCTAGCTCATTCTTTGTTCTACTCAGTGTGACTGAAGTCATTCAGACCTTCTGCAGTGATTTAAGTGGAGTTTGAATTATGCCATCCATGAACATCAAAATCCTACTGTGAACACAAACCTTTACTCATTTTAGCTAGGAAAAATACTATACTGTGCACAAGTTAAATAGCAATTTACCTTTTAACATTTTAAAAATGCACATTGACTTCAATAAAGCACACAGATAGTCACCTCAGTACACAACCTGGGTCTGGGGATTTACAAGATCTTAGCCTAGCCACTTAATCTATATCTGTAAAGGAATGGCAGATTTTAATCAGCTCTCACCACTATAAGAACTTCTAAAGTTCAAAAACTCTTCCGAAAATGAAAAAAATCATTGCACTGATTAATGTTAGTTATGTATGTGTATAAATCCAAAGAGAAAGAGCGTGTGTGTGTGTGTTTATATATATGTATTTACATCAAATGTGCATTTGTCCCCCTCGGTACTTTCCAAAAAAGCAGTAAACTAACAAAATCTTAAAATGGAAAGAGCAGTAGGACTGGACTGAACATCCTGATCATCTGGAATTTCATAAAGTGCATATGACTAATAGTTACTCTTTTTCCCAGACAAGAAAGGAATGATCTAACACCTGACCATCACAAGTACCATACCATCTCACATTTATCAAGCAAGAACTCTGAAATATTTGATTGCAAAGAACATGGTTCAAGAGTTGGAAACCTGGGGAGCTGTGAGCCAAGCAGTTCATTTTCCCAATTGCACTCTTACAAAGAGGAAGGAAAAAAAAAAAAAGTTCGGCCAACAAAAAGATGCGTTTTCAATAGCATTCACTCACTTATATAGGCACACACATTTAAATTCAGTTATGCTTGCAGAGCAATATACAGTTTCAAAATATGACCTTTTTTCCCCCCAATACTAAATTGGAGTTTATGGCAAGGAAACCAATTACTTCTCGAATAATTTCTGTAAAATGGTTTCCTGTCGGAAAATGCTTACATTTTCACTTCAGATTCAGCTATGTCTTTTCTTTACCTCTTATGCCTTACCAAAAAGTGACAGCGCTGTTCAGAAGGAATGTCAGGATTTCAGAACTATGTCATGGAGTTATAACTCATTTACAAAGATGAAAGACCTCGAGGGCAAACAAAATTGTATTATAAACGTGGTTTGAACAACAGCAGTGAATAACGAGTCAGGTAGGACAACCTGTTATTTAAAGCAGCAATACATTTTGTTGGTAGAGTTCACAATAGCAGTAAAAAACATTAATAGTGAAAGACATTTCATTTTATGTGAAATATATAAGTAATACAGAAGAACTTCAGAGTCAATTAGTTCAAATTGACTTTTTGAGTTGCTTTGAAATCTACTGATGAAAGGCACTTCCCAAGACAAAAGGAGTACTGTGTTAGCAGTATGCCCCTATAGTTAAGATATTCTGCGCTTGTCTTTTATTTATAATTAAAAAACAAACTAAACCAAGCTATTATCTATTTCAAAAGACAGCTTTAAGAAGAAATTCCAAAATGGTTAAGTGCATGAGTCCCATAATTGAATTTAAAAACAGGTCAAGCGTCCATTGCATTAAACAGATACAATTACATTGCAGGCAATTGAACTGGGATTATACCACGCGTGATTTAGTTCTAACAGATCGAGTTCATCCTGAAAGGACTGGTTGAGTCTTGCCAAGTACGGGAAGAAGATCATCTTTTGTGAAGGCAGTGAGTGGAATGGGTGTCTGTTTATTTTGTTGAGTATGACAACACAGACATTGAAAGCATCCATCTTGCTCTTAAATTAATTTCCATGTCATTAGCTGTAATTTTCCCCACATCTTCAGTATGCATAGGTAAGTAATAAACACATATCATAAGGAAAATGTCAGTCTAGTATGCTTTGTGCCTATGGCCTAAGGCCATCTTTAGTTATATGATCATACATGGGTGCCTTCTCCCTTAGGACCTCTGCCCCATGCAGTTTCATTTTGTGCTACAACTTCTCCTGCAAGAGTTGCACAGCTCGGAAGCGAAGGCGGTGCAGGCTGGCAGAAGAGAAGAGACGGCCTTATAATCAAGGCATTTCAGTGCTGACTGAGCAAACTGAATTCTTATCTTGCACTTGCTGCAGCACTCCAATATGACCACTGGCATATTTGTTAAAGAAAATTTTTCATTCATTGTCACTAATTGCAAGTTTCCTAAAGGCCTTATTTGATTCCAAGGCCCGATTCACTTCTGAGACGAAAACTTACCAAAGCAGCTGAAGTCAACTGAAGCTGTAATTTGAATATATAAAATATTAACAATGCTGGATAGACTTCCAAATATGAGATGCCCAAAATAAGACATAGCAAATGATTAGAAAGTAATTTGTCTCTCTACCTTTGTTCCTAATCTGAAGAGAGCGAAAGACATCTCTTCTTACACAAGACTTTCAAAAATTAAGTTTAATTAATACTCGTGAAGCATTCAGAAACTATAGTAATGAGTGCCACTGTAAAGCTTAGGGGGGAATTAGTAATTGCATCTTTACAGCAGGATTTGAATGTCATCCAGTAAATAAGGGATGGAATGAAGAGGAAAATAAAATATTAAATAGGTCTTCTTTAATGAGCTGCATCCACTGTGTGAACTGAATGAGGCAGATGTCCTCTGTTAAAAGACATTCTCATAATTTAATCAAAGGAAGTATCAGCAAATACGGTTACACAAGAGTTCTAAATAAAATCGCACAGTAAATCTTAATTCTGGCATGCTTACCTTCCACATGTTTAATTTTTGCAGTCCTAATAATACTGCAAGATATGTCAGTTCTCTGAAAATATTGACCCAATGCTTGTATGTTAAAAAGGAAACTAAATCATTCAAAAAGGAAAAAAGAACATCAGCAATTTTGGGGAATGGGATAGCAAATGAAACAGAAAATGCAATTATGATGTCATATTGTAACTTCTCATATCACACTGCATACCTTCTCGAATATTTTTCTTCAATTTGATCACTGCATTTCAGAAAACACTTATTATAACAAGAAAAGATATAGAGCCAGGCAACAGGACAACCAGAGGTACAGAATGGCTTCTGTACGAAGAAACACTGAATAGGCTACATGGCTCCATAGATTATTGAGAATTCTATCGTATCTGCATCAATCCGTCCAAACGTGAATTATCTTGGATCAAGCAAACAATGATTATTCAGTATTCCTCATGACAAAAGAAAAAGTAGGAGACCTGGAACTATAAAGAGACCAACTGGCAGGCACCTGGATGAAGAGATACCATCCACAGTTGTTACACACAGCAGTGCAGCTGGATCTGGTACTAGGTCATCTTAAACAGCACACAGCCAGTAGACTGTCCGAGTTGGTAAGGAGTCTTTCTTTATACTTGGAAGCATTTCTTATGCTTTTTCCTGGTCCCTGCTGATGGTTGCTGTCAAACAAGAGAGACCAACTCTTGACATGACACAGCATAGCTCTTCTCAGATGTTTCTGGAACACAAGAGTCTGGCCATACAGCCAGGTGTACCAACAAACCTTTGATTTTCCACTGCTACCTCTAGCTCTAGGTCCTGGTGCCAGTAGGAAACGCCTAATATATAATCTCATGTTAGTACATGTTTTGATTTGAAGAATGTTATGAAAACTTTAAAATAACAAATCCTCAAACCCAGTGAGGTAGGCAACGAATGCACTACGCTGCTCACTTGACAGGTGGCAAGATGAGCACAGACACTTGCTTGTTTATATTGGGAAAAAGGTCACTGATCCAAGCTAAGCAGCAGCAGATTAGAATTTGTATATAATATGGGAACAGTTTAAACTACCATCTATCTGCAGGAACTAACCTGTAAACTACTACTGGCACAGTTACTGTCACTGACTACACACAGGCATCAAAGAAGTATGAAGTTTTAGGGCAAGACGGCTCCAAAGTCCTCAGTAAGACTTAAAACCAGTCTTAATGCATATTGTTCTAATACTCCCATACTGCAGAATTTTACAGCCAGTGCTTGACTGCAGTCATGCTGTAATTCAGTCTTCCATATAGCTTAAAATATTGATTGTGGTCAGGAATTTTCTAGTTAGAGCCTTGAGCTTTCATCCAGAACAGTACTGAACTGGACACTGAAGTGCACAAGTCCAGCAGCATGCTTTGCTCACTGGTTTTCACACTTTTCAAGTGTTGCTTGAATCAAGTTTTAGTTACGACTGGTTCCAGTTTACAATACATTAAGTAAGAAGAGATTATAATCTAATACTATCTCACCTCTTCTCCCTGCACATTTTTTTCTTAATAAAGTCTGGAAACCAAGTGTACAAAATAAAAACTGAAAATTGAGAGGGGAAGAAAAAAAAATTCAAGCATCATTACATCTTCTCCAATAACATTGGTTCTGGCATACTTCACATGCATGTGTTTTATCGTTGTTTTCCTTAATGTATCACTCTGATATTTATTCTGGGTTATAGGCTACATAGTGTCCCATGCGGACTAATTAATGTTGTGAAAGCAGCCATAACTTGGAATTTATTGCATTTATATTATTAGATTTTTCAGTCTTAATGTTGCAGTAACATTAGAGATTTATTTTAAGATTTATAAAGTTTGGGGTTATTTTTCCTGGCTGCAAATATGCACATTAATCATGAACACATTCAAGGACCTATAATACTATGAAGACAATCCAATAAAGGCAAATTTAAGTACTTTGCTGGTTAGGCACAGGACTGGGCATTTGTTTGCCTTCTCAGAATCAGGGATTGTTAAGCAAGCTACTCTCCCACCTGCAACAGCATTCCCCATAGGGAGGCAAGATGTTTTTATGCATATGAAGTAAAATCCTTTTGTTCTCAGGACCTGTAATGCAGCTTTTATCTATTTTTAACATAGTTAAATGGACTAAAATGAAAATATCCACAAGGGTAAAAAATTAACTTACTTCACTCCGTATGCATATTTAGAAACTCTAGCTATATAAAGTGATCATGAGTCAAATATCACTAGTAGGTAATTAGAAAAGTTACACCTGTACTCCCTGTAGTCCAAGACCACTTTGTACTCAGAGGGAAACATTTGTCTGTTAAGCTGTTTTTGTTTACATTAAATCCCTCAAATCTTCAGTTTTCTTTCTAAATACTTAATATAAGTCATGGATTTTTTATTGATATGTAACCATTAAAATGAGTCCCATGCCCCATCTGGTAAGTCAGAAATATCATCATGCTTCTATTTCATTCTTTGAAATCCCGCCTGCTGGTGCTATGGCTAATGATGATACAGGCTTTCTGTGGTCCTGGGCGACTGCTATCAGCCCTAGTTCCAAAAACCATCTCAGATTCAGAGCTCAAAGAGCCACATGGATCAAACACTATGGGTTTCTTGGCCACTGCATCCCTTAAAACATAGATCACAAACTACAGATTGCTGTTTCTTAGCAGCAGATGAGATCTGCCATCACAGTCACTGCGTCCGGTTCAACAAATGAAGAACGTGCAGTCAAAAGGCAGGATCACAGAGGGGATAAATGCCAGCTCCACTCTCAAAACAATTAAGATCAGCCAAACATCAGCAAGCCTGAACTGTGGCTCAGCACCACAGAAACATAAGTAGATAGCTAGTGACATCTAGACCACAGCCAAAGATTAAAGTTGAAGTTATAGCTATAATTTAGTACAGAAATTACTTATTGATGCTGATCTTCATAGGTAAATTTCCAGCCTCACTGACACTTAGGGAGTACCTTCTTTTCAAAAGTGAAGCTCTAATGGTAGTAGGAAATCTAGGATATCGGTACTGCTTTGCTAATGAGCCACAATGACAGGTGCCTTTCTCTAAAACCCCTCAAAATTGTCTCCGTAGAACATAAATATTGCAGACACACACACACTGAAGTAGCCATCTTCTGTACGGTGGGGTCATGTTTATAAATGTGTTAGAGGGCCCTTTTTGGATCACAGGGCCCATATTACCAGGTTACCCTTGGTCCTCCACTTCTCTGACCAACTGAGAGCTGGGCAAAGAACAAATCGTAGCTGCTACCTGCACCAGAGACACGCACAGATTCCAGCACCTCCTGATAAGTGATCTTTACGCTATGGAAAGTATGAAAGTTAGTAGTGAAAAATTAAATAAGACAGTAGTTAAGAGGGCTATGAAAATCTCATCTTCATTGATTTTTAGAGATTCTACACAATAAGAATAGAAGTATCTGAGCTTCCCTAAAAGCAAAGCTTTCTTTTATCATGCAGAGAAAAGACAAATGAGTCTTGGAGTGAGCTTATTGCTTTTTTTTTTCCTTCCAGTATTCCTTTAAAATGACAAAAATGTATTTTTCTTCACTTTAACTGGAAACATGTTAACCTTATGCAGCTGCTGTTATATTTAAACTTTATCCAGCCAAGACTAACATGTTTTGCAGACTAGAAAGATAAGAGAAGACATTTTGCAGGCATCCAAAAAAAATTCCCAGCAAAACTTAAAAGCTCCTTTGATAACATACTTGTAAGGATTAAAAGCTCCAATAGAACCCTTTTTGAATAATGATTAAAAAAAAATCCCACTTGAAATAATGTCTAGAGAAGAAAAACCTCAGCTACATGCCTTGAAAATGAAGGAAATGGAAAGTCAGTTTCACTGTTTGAAAACAATTACTGAGTGTATGGAAATGTAATTTTCACTTTGCAAACATCTGTCAGGCCATAACCCCCCTCTAGAAGCATCCAGTGACTGGACGAATCTTGGATGCTTTAGGTGTGTGATGTTGCCCACATAGGATTTTATGCACAAGAAAAACACAGTTAATAATACCCTGTCTCTCACTGCAGCCAAAGGCTGACTCTCCTCCGCACAAGTTGTGGAACAGCCAACTCCAGACTCTAGACAAAACTCTTTGGTTAATACCATGAAGAGATGGAAACGTCTGAAAAAAATGGCATCTCAACTGAATCTGATCATCTGCCACTGCCTTAAACTTTGCCCAGGTATTACTATGCCTTCCATAATTATAGAGAGAGATTCTACAGCACTGGAGAGAGGAGGAGGAAAAAGAAGGTGGGGGAAAAAAAAAATCAACACGCCAACTCCTATTCCTTCAAATTCACGATCTGTCTTCAGCTATAACAGGAAGATAATGGCCTGAAGCCATGCAATTTTTATGTTGGTCCAAATATACCATTACAGAGCTAAGTCCAGTGTCTCACTGGCTTCTGCAACCTTTTTCACAGACAATCTTATCAAGTTGTCTGTGAAATTATTAGTGTTTTCAGTGTTCCAAAGTTTCTTTTGCAGCTCACTGATGGGAGCTTTAAGTATACATCTATTGAACTTAGATAAAGCTACAACTCAGGGGGCAATCCGTAATCAGTTTGAGTGCAGAAGCACGGTAGCATCTAATGAAAAAGAAAGTAAGAAAATGAAGTCCTTACCAACTATTATCATTTCCTAACAAGGTGTCTTACACAGAAGTTTCAACTTCACCTTGGTAGTTTCTTGGTCTTGGCTGTACCACCTTTGAACTTTTGTTTGTTTTTTATTTTTTTTTAATCCCCAGTTCTTCAGGATGTAAAAAATACTTTAAGTTAATTAATTAGAACTGTCTTCAAATTTTCTACAATATGCATCTTATTTCCACTGCTTTATATTTTTCAGCAACATAAAGCACAATCAGAATCTGTCTACAGTTTTCTTACTTAAGGAATTATCCAAAATACGAAATGCAAGCTATGAGCTTCGTTCCCATAATAGATCTCTTTGTAAATACAGAGACAGTGACAGATTTGTATAGATAATCAAAACAATGACAGTTCATTTGAATACTATCAAATACATCTTTTTCCATGAAAGAATGAAAATACTGTGACAGGATGTGCCTGATACCTTTATCTCAATAATAATTGCTTTCTTGTTAAAAAAAACCCAAACCACCACAACAAAAAAACAACAAAACCACCCCCAAACCACTCTGAAAAAAATGCAAACTTAAAAAAAAATATCTCTCTAGCCTAAAAAGTTTGAAAACTCCCCAGTAAGATTAATTTGCTTTCTGTGCTGGTCAGAATTCTCTTGCTAAACACCCTGATAGATGCTACTTCTGCTTTGGGAGCTTTAGACGATTCCACCAAGCCTATGAACAAGCTAAAATTTTTATTTACTTCTTCTAAATGCAGAAGTTCAGGAACACTTAGATGTAAAACTTCAATCACAACTCATTTAAAACATAAATAACAATACAGCAGTTTTAGAATACCATTGAACACTGGGAAACATAGCCCAACAATCCCGTAACCCTTCATTTTGTGGTTAATCATGCCAGGAAAGGTATTTCCTTTTGTCTAATGTTTTGCTCATATTCATGCTGCCTTTTGACTAATTAAAACCAAGATTAAAAGCAGTCTTCAGATACTTAGATAAATCTATTGTTCTTTTTTCCAGACAAGATTCTGAGCAGCAATGAAAAGCCACTTGTGAAGACAACACGTACCTCCGGCTCTCCAACGGGCGCCCATCACTAGAGATGCTTCGGGGGATGTTGGCGGCTCGTTCTGGGGGTGGCATTTTCCCTTCTCCTTTCCCAGAGCCAATTCTAGATGTTACTGGACTTTGTATTTGGGCTGGTACCTGAGCCACATGAGGTCCCTGTCCTTTGCTTGCATTTCGCTGCCATTTGTTATTATTTCTGAAGGGAAATTTGAATTCATATGACATTCCTTCATTCACTTTGTATTCCATCACTGGCATACGGTAGTTTTCTGAAGAACTCCTGGAAATGAAGTAAGTTAACATGCTGCTATAAAAAAATAAAACATATCCTGTTCACAAGGACAGAAATCTGAAGACAGAAGCTGAATCAATTCTATGAAACAGTACAATTCTGCTTTTTAGAATCACGTATTTAAAAAATTTTGGTACTATTCATCGGACTACTGGGTTATAAAAGCTAAAAAAAAAAATCTGCTAGAAGGGTATCTGCCCTTCCTAATTTAAAAAAGTCACGGGCTTTAGAACTTACCTGCACCCATACAAATAAGACCTGAAATGTTTGTTGAGATAAATCTTTCTGATGCACAGACATCCATGAAAAGACAAGATTACCAGGAAATAATGCATTACACTTCATTTTCAAAGATCTTTGGTTTTGGAGTACCTCAGCTGTTAAATATGCACACTATGAAAATAAAACACTTGCTACAGTTGTAGATGCCAAGCCCAAAAGTTGCCCATTGCTTCCTGAGGATGCACAGGAACAGGACAGCATAAAAACTGGATTATAACAGGACACAAGCGAAGGCAGTCCACATAAGAAGCAAGGTGAACTTCTGCATACATTAAAAATGAGAGATTTGGAAACTAGATGTGACCTTCAGATTCAGTGAGGACAACTGTGGTATTTCTCTTGACAAATGTATACACTTCTATTTAAGTGAAATTTTAAATCGTGATTACTTTGTTTATTTACACACACCATTATCTAATGGGAAGGAAAAATAAACAATCTGTGCAAAATTTTCTACCTCTAGCTCTTCCTCTAAGTGATTACACCATTAGTGCTGAGAAATACCAATATCTCTTCCCAGCTAAAATACAAAACAAAACAGATAATAAGTTATCTGGCTATGTTGACATTAGCAAGTTGTGCAGTCTAATACGAGTAAAGTGAAACAGACTGTGGCGAGGTCTTGCTGTCCACAAGACAGACATTTTGTGGTTTTACTTTGGCCTACCCTCTAGTCTTGGTCTGCAAATTAAATTCGCAGTTGGAAGGCACGAGGTATGCTTCTGAAGTATACATGTAGTTCAGCTTTATTTGAAAAGAAATGTTTGTGTGCTCCCAGCCCATTCTGTGATGTGAACCACTGCATGCTAGATGGGGATGATCAGGAAATTCGTTTTCAAAGTCCACTCACAACCGAACTAAAATCTTGATACCCTTGTTTTTTCTTTTCTCTTCACATTTTGTCTCTACTATTCTTTCTCACAAATGCCTACATCTCTTGTTTGGATGCTATTTTAGTAGTCTGGGTTTCTCTTTTTTTTTTTTTTTTTTCTTTTTTCTCTCTTCCCAGACGTAGTTACAGTGTAAGAAGCAAAACCACACAATTTCCTCTTGCTGCTGTCCTTAACTTCAAGGTCAGCAATAAGTCCACTAAATGAGTTCAGTAGCAATGTTTTAATGACCATCTTTTAGTAGAGATACAATGATAACAAGGCCTGCCTCTGTGTAGGGCATTAGATTGTGATTCAGGGTATTTGGATATATTTTTCTGTCTGCTTCTGACCTTGCACATGTGCTTGTTGGCAAGTCATCTTATCTAACTGTACCCCTGTTCTTCCTCCAACTTCATGACAATCAATTTATTAGGATAGGGACTGCTTCTCATATGAATGTACTATACCAAGCAGAATTGATCTTAATTTTAGTTACGGTCTGTAGAAGTTACTGAAATAGTAAATGACCTCCAGAGGACACAATGAAAAGACTCCAATTTTGGAAACCTGATTCCCAAAAGAGAAATTGCTTTATGCAAAGATTTAAGTCAAGTCTCTAGTAATATACATAGGATAGCTAGAAATTCAAGACACAGTTCTTAAACGTTAATGATTTTGGATACAGCAAGCAGGATAAAGGGTTGCTTTATGAAATTTTATAACTAGGCAATAATCCACCATGAACATTTGCTCACTACATACATCAACAAAACTCACTGATGCCAAGTACAGTATTTCAAAAAGTGCAGTAATTTCTCTTCCTGCTATGGGTTTGGGTACACTAAAGCTAAGCCTGCTTTTGGCTGTACTTAATTTAGTTCAGGAATAATAGGATCTGTGCTTTCCACACAGATTTTTCTGCTCTAATCCTTTTGCTATGATTGCAGCTGAACTTTCCATTTGCTCGGGCTGCTAAATACTGTACAAAAGCTTTCCAAATACCTCATGGGTGACCTTATGCCACTGCTCATTTTAATCCCTGACATGTATTCAATTTTCCACCGACAACTAAAGGACAAATAGAACTCCTTTTTCTCTCTGCTCCTGTTTTGTTACCAGTTACAAAAGGAGTTAATATGGCTCACAGTAAAAACAAACATGGATTCTTCTTTTATGCAAGTACAAGGTCTTTGCTCAGAGACACAATTTCATATCAATGTAATAAATATTCATGTAAGTTCAGCCCTAACCTTAAGTATACAAAGCTTTAGCATCCACCTCAACCTCAAGTATACAAAGATTTAGCATCTACCCCTAAAAATATATTGCCTAATTAGAAAACAGCAGTGCAAAATGCTCTCTCAGTCTCTCACTGCAAGGAACACACTGAACTTTGATAACTGTACTTGCTGCTTCCTGGCAAATCAAGCATAAACCTTGAGTTAGCCTGCAGGCAAATTTAGTCTATTAGAGATCATTCCATTTTAATCATATAGCATTTGTAAGATATTAATACAGGATGTCAGGAATATGGGAATCAGATTTAGTGTTGTGGCTGAATGCTACAGACAACTGCAGAGAGTTCAGATGGGAGCAGCAAAAATGATAAAAAGCCTTAGTGTAAATTCAGGGAAAATGAAGTGACTTAATGTCCAATTTAGAAAAAAAGCACATATTACTGCTTATTTCTGATCCAACAACATGTTAAAGCTATAAAAGCAATAATATAGTTGACACAAGCCTCAGGCTTAACACAGATGGGAAGTGAGAGAGATGCAGCAAGATCTACTACTGAGTAAAGAAGAATTACAACTTGCAGCAATTTCTCTGGCCAGATCCATACCTTTGATAAACTCTCATCATTTACAGCCCTACTTATTTATGAAAGTAGAAAAATGTAAGTCTATTCATAGCTTTCAAGAATTACATCCACAGACACTGCAATCCACCAACAAATGGGAAAGCAGGGAGGGAAATGTACAATTAATTTTGACACATCATAAACATACAAGTGTCAACAAAAAGCTCGTTGATTTCCATGTTAAATTCCATGGAATTTAAAAGATACATGAGGTTCTTCACACATTTTATTAAACTGTGGTATTCAATGAATATTTTGTGAGGTCTGGAGTCTGAATATGGGCAGTTTTTCCTGCTCTCCTCTTTCACCTTAGAATACTGGATGCTATATTACAATATATAACATGGTTTTTGGAGGTTAACACTTACTCTGTGGTGTTTTTTTCCACCCTACCCCCCACAATTTTCAGATCAAATGTAGTTCAATGAATATTTTGTGAGGTCTGGAGTCTGAATATGGGCAGTTTTTCCTGCTCTCCTCTTTCACCTTAGAATACTGGATGCTATATTACAATATATAACATGGTTTTTGGAGGTTAACACTTACTCTGTGGTGTTTTTTCCACCCCACCCCCCACAATTTTCAGACCAAATGTAGCTATTATGCAATACCTGCGTGGTGTGCAGTCCTCATATGGAGGGACGATGACGACCTTCACTGTTACTGATGTTCTGAGAAGATCGATCATTTGCTCATGGCTCAGAGTGGCTACAGCCACCTTGCAGATTTCCACCAGCCGGCTGCCTTGTCGCAGTCCTGCCTGCCACGCGTAGCCATATGGCTCAACATCTGCTACAATGCCTTCATAGTTTACGTGGAAACCAAGCTGACCCAGACCATTCCTACGCAGAGTCATCTCCACTGTTTCACAGCCCTTAGTCACAAGCTGTGAATTGAAATGAAGACAAATTTTAATGCATGGAGAGAACTTCAGTGCTAACAGAGGTTTAAGGGCCCCATTTTTCTACAATCAACCAACTCCCAAGACAATGATGGGACACAGTCCTGGGATACATATCACAGTCCTGGGTACATAATCAGCTAAAATGGGTCTTGTCACTCAAACTAGTATTTTCAATAGAGTCTGCTTACCCAAATTCTGCCCTGAAATTTTTACTGAAACCACATGAATTTTAGAAGATACATGGCAACAGACAATAGAAGAACAAATGGAGTTGCACAAGCACCTCTATCTTTTATGCTTTACTAACCAAACAACCGTTCTATATTTCTAGCTGTTTCAGTAAACTGGGAGATTACTTTCAGACAGAATGTGGTGGTATGCAGTTACTAAGCATGGTAAACTGCCGTCTATGTCAACTCTTCCATGTACCATGAGCATGAATACCACTCAAAGTAATTTAATAGGGCCTGGCTTTCCCTTCTTCCTGGTCATTATACTATTACACTGGTGAAATTACAGAAAAGACAGTGAAACATAACACACACTTTCATAACTTAATTGGATAAAAAATGAGCATGGACAGATGTTTTATAGACAGATAAACTAAAATGCAGTGAATTATGTTATCACATGCATTCAGAGAATATATGAAGGGTTGCAATAGCGATTGGGACTGCACCCTGCTGGCAACATAATAAGTCAGTCTCAAAGATATTACAGTTTCATTTGAAACAAGATTCAACAAGCCTATAAAACAGAGAAAGGTAAGAAAAACAAGGAAAAGAAATAAGGTGACACTTCTGTATTTACTGTGTGGGAGCAATTTATGCATCTGAAGGCCCTGCTTTTTTTTTTCTCCCTCCCAAATATATGGAGGCATTTTTGACACACACAACCAGCTGAGGTTGGCGTATATCTGATGAAAGTGAAAGCAATACTGGATTTTGAGAAATAAAAGCAGGAAAGTCCTTATAGTTTAACGATAAGCAATTAGAACAGTTTTACAGATCCCAAACATTACTTCAATTGAAGCCTTACTTGGCTGTGGGGTGAGAGGAGAAAGCAAAGAGGAAGAACCAAACAAGAGAACACATTCTGACCTCCAGCCTTTTGACGATCTCTTTGATGTCATCAATGTTGCTGATGAAGCTCTCCAAAGAAACACATTCACCCCTCTCATAGAATATTTTGATATTTGTGTCCGTTGAAGTCCACCCTATCACATCTCGACAGGAGCAATTGAACACCACACTTTTTGTGTCCTGTTCAATGAGGACTACGAACTCATTGGAGATGCCTAGGAGACAGTCTATTTCCATACCCTTGCTGTAGTCTTTTGCATGAACACTCCATACAATAGCACCAGAACTATAGATCTCTGCTCCTGGATAAGGCTTGGACTTTTCTTTCTTTTTTGAAGCAAGCGAGATGAAGGGGAACTTGCCAGAAGGGTCAATAGGTGTGTTGGTGACATTCTTCTCTGCCAAGTCTTTCAAGTACTCTTGACGTGTCCTGGTGGCCATCGCACGAAACTTTTCTGATTTATGAGCAGCATTCTCTGCATTAATGACTTTGGCTAATAAGAAGTCCCTGAACACATTTGATTTAGGAAATGTGACACCTTTCGGAATAGGCGGTCCAAAGGATGGTACATCTCTGGATCTTGTCACAGCAACACTAAAAGAAATAAAAGAATAAGGAAGAAGCAGAGTGTCTCACTGTATGCAAATTCAGAAGTTTTTGAATACAGAAAAAACATTTCCTTTCTTCCTTAAACCTTCAATTTTTATCTCCTTTTCTCAGCAATATGCCTATATTTACACTTTAATGTTGCCAGTGTGGAGATGATGTTCCCCTTCCTGCATAAACAGAAGGCCACTTATTTCTGCATCTAGGCATTTTTTGAGTCATCCTCAGTACTGCAGCTTAAAGAGAGCTTCAAGTGAAAAATCTTGCTTTTTTGATGAAGTTATTACTCATGTATGGTAGTTCTGAATTCTGTTTGTTTTTACTATAAACAGAAAATCTCTAACACACACTATTACAAAGGCTAGCTTATAATTTAGCTACCTAAAGCTGAAAGGCTCATCTGAAAGCAATGCGAAGTGTATGATCAACACTAGAAATACAGATCAAACAGACACATTAAAAGGAAAAAGACAATAAAGTAATCTCACAAGGCCAGTTTCACTGTGAGAATCATCTTCTGGTGACGGAATGCATATACACATCACACTATTGATGATGTTTTAAATTTCTGGATCAAAAATTGCACTAGCTGACATTGCAAGCTAGTGATAGAAGCAGACTCCAAAAATACTAGAAATAAGAAATTTTATAGGAGTTTGGAAACATATATCAGAAATACATGCTTTCTTTTTCAACTCTTCCTTCTAGTTTCCATATGAAGTGATGGACTGACAGTAAGACTGCCTTAGGCAACGCTGACAAGCTTAGCTACTCTCCCTGGTCAATCCTCTTTTGATACAGAGTGGATGAGAGTTGTTTGGCATCACTGAAGATTTGCCATTCCAGTCCAGTATCATTCATTTGGCAGTCTGTCCTAAGAAGAGACTAACAATCGAACTTCAACAGTTTTGTAACAAGAAATGCTCCAACAGCTTGAATATGATTTACCATATATCTGTAACTAGATCTGAAAAAGCATTAACTAATTTTGGGCAAAGTATTGTGGCAATGGAGTTTTATAAAGAAACATAGGATGGAACTTGAACACAATAGAAATGTATGTTGTGTTTCGTTTGGAAGACTGGCTGGTATTATTTTCATACTTTGTTCTAACTTATCTGAATCCTTAAACATAATCAGAGAAATCCCGCCCCCCGCCCCCCCCAATCAATAACTGGGGTGGGGTGGGCAGGGACAACAACACGCAGGAATACCAAAAATAAAAATTAAATCACCTAATCTTTAAAACCATATCTTCTGGTTTTAGGTGGTGGGGTGTTTTATTTGTTTGGGGTTTTTTTGTGTGGTTTTTTTTTTTTTTTTATATTGTATTTTCTGGCAACTGATATTGAAAGATGTCATTGACTGTCATATTTCCTTCAAATGTATACCAATATATCTAAAAGTATGCAACAGGGGGTGCTCATGATGCAACCATCTGACTCTTGATGATCTTCAGTGGTCCTAAAGGGTCTGGTATTAAGAGATAGAAGCCTAAGTGTTAAACAATTACTGGATGTAATGAAAAACTGCCAGTGACATTTTGTTTGATTAGGTTTTTGATATCATTAATCACAGGGATAAGAATTTAATCTTTAACATATGCTAGAGAAGTCTGTAAAACTGAATGATGCCAACAGAGAAGCCAGACTTTTGAAATATTGTTTATCTTAGTTGGGAGGGAGAATCACTGGCCAAGACAGTGCCTGATTTTATTCCTTTTATGTAGTTTTTAATATAAATTCCAGTACATTTTTATGCTATATGGCTTCCTGTTTTGTCTACAATTACAACTCTATGAAACTGTTCCAAATAATTCAGTGAAAAAGAGGTCAAACTTACTTTGAAAAGTTTCCTACAAAAACTTTTCATAATGGAATTCTATAAATTTAAATCAAGTGTTTGCACTGAGAGGACAAAAAAAGAAAGGATTTTAATCTTAAAGACAGTACACAGAACATAAGATGTTCTGGCAGTCTCCTGTATGTCTGTCACACAATTTTTTTCCTACCTGCTCCCCCTCCCCTTAAAATTTAAGCCTGTAGCATCACTAAAGTTGAAATTCTCACATTTTATTTACTAATAGTAACCAGTAAGGTTGTTTTTGTGAACACTTGAAAAATGAAAGTGATTCAGAAGTCTGAAAGTCAGAAATAGAACCCTGAGACATTTACATTTATTACAGTATAACAAGTGTAAATCTTTCCCATGCCTTTTAAAAGGAACAAATTGAAAATATGCAGTCATATTATTTTTTAAAAAATAAGCAAAAGTAGATCTTTCTCTGTGTTCATAACACCCAATTCAAATGGAAAATGCATCTGTAGCCCTTGTGGATATATTTGCTACTTTCCCTTTACTTCAAAATCAGTTTCTGTACAGAGTAAGAGTTGAAACATATGTCTAAAAGTTTAAGAACAAGCTATGTCCACGTAAATTATGTAGCAGTAGAATTTGTCAATAAGTTGCCTTAAAATTAGTATCAACATGAACATGCCTCCTCCAGGACAGTTTAATACATGTACAAAGTTCAGCATCAGTTCCAGAAGCACTGTGTAAGCTTTACCAAAAACTTATGGGGAGGGAAAAGCCTTTAAACCTTACTACACTTACTTGAGAAACACAAATACACCACCTCAGGCACCACAGTCTTAGGTCTTTCTCTAAATAAGCACTTGACGGAATGAAACACTTAGGTGAACATTTGTATTTCAGCACAAACAAGTTAATTCTAAGGCTACCTCATTTCAAGATTACTACTCTAAATCCATTACTCTGACACTTCATATTTTAAATAAAGAAGCTTCAGAAAAGTTTGCTGAGATCAGTCAACATTTAAAAATAAAAATACATTAAGAGTTCAGGATATAGTAAAGGTAAAAAGTTTAATTGATTGTAAAAAGAAGTGTAACTCAAAAATATTATTTCTATATGCTTTCAATTTGCTTAAAAAAATTACGCTAAACAGGAATCTCATCTTGCAATTCTTTATTAGATGTTACTATCAATTACCATTTTCTATTTTAATCATATTGACTTTAAGGTTACACTAAGATTTTTTTTGCTGCATAATGCTCTGGAATGTCTTTGTTGACTGAAATGAGATAAGAAATTAAGATATTTCAGACAAACTACTTCAGAGAGCTTAGCTTCTTTCTGAAAGGTTAGTCATACTTTTTCACTGTCTTAAATTCAAAAACGCAACACAAGCTTAGATGCCCAAATTATCTGAAAAAGTGAATTTATAAGAATCAATATAGAAATACTCTTCTAGCATACTCTTAATGAAGAGACTAAAAAGGAAGTGAGAACGGAATTTTAAAATCATTCCCAAATGCCTGATATATGTGTGTGCGTATGTGTGTGTACACATATACCGACAGCATTAATTTCCTCATTGGGTGTGTTTCCTTTACATACTCATATGTGTCTATTTACTTTCTTTAAAAAAGTGTTCTAAATTCACAAGACCCAAAATCTCCTTGACTCCTTGACCATAATCTTTCATTATGTTTCCCTACTGAGAAGGTAAAAGAGAAACCACACCTCCCTTTGCACTCAAATTCCATGTTTTCAGTGAAACTAGCAATAGCTACCTGTAACAAACGCTGTCAGTACAGGGACCATGCACTCTTACAATGACAAAGACGTGCTGGAAGTGTGATCGAATGTTCTTTGGGCTGAATGGTTGTGCTCCAGGCTCCTGGAAAACTATTGTCACAATATCATTTCCAATATGTCGTTTTCTCAGAAGCTTTAACAAAAAAAAGATGCATAGGTTAAAACACAGTCTTTCCATAATTTTTAATTGTTTATTTCTCATTAATATAAATTACTATTTTTCAATTTTTCTCTTCCAAATGATACTTCAAGCTGAAAACTGAAAGAGTTGGGGATTTACATGACAAGTACCAGAATGTTAGTTATTCATCTAATAAATTTCAGGCATGAGCATTTTCAAAGCAATTTCATTTCTACATGTAACATAGAGGAAGATCTTATTAGGGAAAATTTTAAGCTAAACAAAGAGGAAAAACAACAACAAAACCATCAGAGTAATCAGTGATACACTTCACACATTTTTATAAGCTAGAAGTATGTTCTATTTCAAGTTGAAAATAGCTCTCATTGTGTAAGACACGCTGTAATAATTTTCTGATAGGTTTCTTTCAGTAAATGCAAGACTACAGTAAACGAGAAAGGTAAACTACAAAGTAGTATAATATTTAGTGCACAAAAGCAAACTAAAAAGAATGCTGTGTTATCTTTTATTGTTAAAGGAAATTTCTCTCTTATTTGCAGAAACACAAAATAACATCATTTCTAGAGTAAAATGCATACACATCATACACAACAAGATGCCCTAATATTTAACAAGGTAGGTCAGCGTACATAGCTCTTCAGTATAACTAAAAAAATTTAAAACAACAACAAACCGATTTTGTTTCATGCCTTCTTGTGTAATGTGTTGGACCACCCACTCGTCACCTCTGATTCTTTGCATATTACAATTTGCTGAATGCAATCCTTAAAGTGCAATGGACTTCATTGCAGAAGGTTGAAAATCAAATCAAGTACACTATGGTCCTTCTCACATGAGATATGAACTCTTATTTATGTAATACAGATGTGCTCCTGCCATTATTGTATAATATTTACATCAAAGTTTCAGTAAATAATGCATAATTAAATAGCAAACAGTCCTATGGAGAAAAACCTGCCTGTGATGTACCTACAATGATCTGCTTTGCTCATCTTCCTGACACAGAGATGGCCAGTTTTACTTATGATTCTTGAAAGGTTTTCTCTGCTAGTAACAAATGAAAGTTGTCATAAATATCCAATAGTTCAGATAATTTTGAGATGGAGGAAAAATTAATTCTAAATACGCATGGTCCATCTTACCTGTTGCTTGTTGTTGGGAGTATATGGCAACATAGTAGAAACATGGAACATAATTTCATAGTCCTTGTATGTTGTGTATAGAGAGTGAGTACCCGTTGAATCAGCTTTCATTAAAGAAAAAACAGAAAATAAAAGCATTATTTAAAAAAAAGTTTCAAACCAAAAAATTCATTATTATCAAAGAAAATCATGAGGCAAGACAAAGATTCCTGTTCATCCTTGATCCTAGCTGAAATATCAGCAAGTAAAAACTTACCCACAGTTTATTCACCTGCCAAAGCAAATGACACATACAGATGGCACATATAATTTTGCGTAGTTTTGCCAATGAAGAACTTGTTAGGAATAGGGAATTTATACCAGAAAACCCTGAAGAAAGGTTATTTAAGCATGAAAAGTGCTAACAAAGTCTGAAATAATTTTCAGACACCATCCAGTAGCTCAGGCTAATCAGAATGAAACTGAACTGTAAGGAATGTGAAAAAGACTTTAGAAAGGAAGGCAGATGGATACCATGAATAGCATGATCTCATGCATAATTAAATATCAACGGACATATAACCCACAATATATGAAAGAACAGAATGGGTTCTTTTAAACATAAATATCAGGACTCTCAATTATCTGTAATGAAGTCAGATAAAACCTTCACTAAAATAGGTGCTTTATGGATAGCAGCAGTGAAAAACTCAAATAGGATGCTAGCATGCTTACAGCTGATGATGGAAAAAGCCCACAATAAAGACATTATGAAGCTGGTATATTAATCAAAGGTACTCTCACCTGTTTTGGGTTCTGGCCACCCTATTTTAAAAGTTATAGAAGAAAGAGAAGGGATCCAGAAACAGGCCACAAAAATAATTATACGTGGATGGAGAGACTTCCATGTGGAGAGAAAATGATAAAAACTAGGATTATGAAGTTTAGAAAGAAAAAAGAAGAGGGGATATTATTAAAGTTTACAAAGTGTTGGTTGAAGACAACACTTGATTACAGACAAATTGGGAACTTGTGTTTTTACTTTTTCTTTCTCTCTCTCTCAAAAAAAGAGACCTTGAAAAATTTTCTATTAATTTAAGTAGTAACACATTTAAAGTTGCAACAGTGAATATATTCTAATAAATATAACTGCTGTCCATAGTGCAAAAAGCACATTTTCAAAGAGAATTTTAAAAATAACTAGATTTACATGTGGAAAAAAGCATCCTGGTTATTTGAAGTTATATAAGCATGCTACTATATTATATAATCCCAACTATTTATAGCAATGTATTTTAAAAAGTTGTGAAATACTACATCTTGGCATTTTTTATTAGCAGAGAGATCTTGTTACTAAGGAGACAATAGTTCTGATATTTGCAAAGCATTTACAATAACATAAATACACAGTTTACTTATCCGGATTTTGGGTACAAGCTTTGACAAGAAGTTTTCGTTTTCTGTCAAATTCAGAATAATAAAATAGAGGTAGCTTTGCTGTAAATGAAAAACCGCATCATCCATAAAATGAAATGCAAAGTTTTCTACATTATAGCTGCATAGAGATTTTGCATTTCCAAAACATCTATATAGAAAAAAATGGCAGTAAGGAAAAGAAAAAGATTCCTAGAATTTTATTAAAAGAAAATCTCATTAATGTTTCAAAGAGAGTGGGCTGTCTTTTCCAGCACTCAACATTGCCACTACAAAAAAATAGCTAACTGCTAAATATTTTCTTTTTAGTGCTAAGTACAACAGCAGGACAGGTAAAAGGGAATCATTTAATCTTGCACGCAGTTCACAGCAGCCTCTACCCTCTGTTTGATCATTACAATGCACACTGAAGGAGGCAGATGCACCTGAAAGTCACGTAAGCATCAACAGAACTCCTTAGTGGCTTTTATTTGGTCTAACTGTAAATACGTTCATTTGTACAACACCTTTCTTACATAGAGCACACAAAAATATTACAAATAACTGGAAAGGAGGAGCAGGTGCAAAAGGAAAGGGAAGTGGGTAAGAAGACAGACAGGGGAAGGAAGGCCCCAAAGGAGGAGA